CATCATATGTAAGCAATAAAATATATTTAAACCTCCATATCCCTTTAAGACTGCCCGCCGTCCAGTTCTTTCAATTCTTTCCTGTATAACAGAGCTAGGCAGGTTTGTTTCAAGGATGACAGTGCCACGTTCTAATGATATATCGATATTTTGAACGCCTTCTAAATCGGCTATACTCTTGGAAATTGCGTTGACACATTTTTCACATGTCATATGTACCGTAAATTCAATCTGCAAAAATAACATATTACAAATTTAAGAATATGTCATTTCTTTTCTTCCAACTCATAAATCAAGTACAAAAGATAATTGCTTACTTTTGTTGAAGCCATTTATACGTAGTAGTATTAACGTGATAAAGCAAATTTTTTTTTATATATGAATAAATAGCTGACATTTCTAATATTTAACAACCATTGCAATACAACTATACTAGAAGAGACACTGAGCATTGCAAAGTGAGAGTGGTCAGACTGAGAAAGCAAATTTCCGGGCTATCTCTCTTTGTCATATAAAAGTTATGCTGAATTCAGACAGAGAGAAGGCAGACAGAGAGAGCGGATATGACCGCGATTTAGACTGTGTTCGTAAATTCACTGCCAGTACTGAAAATCTATAAAATACGTTACGTAGACTATATATTTTCAGTACTGGTGAATTTATGAACACAACCTTAGCTGTAACTTTATTTTGAAGTACCTCTATGTCCATAAAAACATAGACGTTGACCATAGATATTTATATTTATATACTAGACTGCTAACTTGCCTCAAATACATGGCTCCGAAAAGGATGTACAAAAACACATGCGCATGCGTATGAAGTAAGGGGGTACGCATGCGTAAAAAGATTTGCACTAGGATAATAAGGTGCAAACATTTTCACCTATTGTAAATTTTTTTTAAGAACCAAATTGCAAAATCCGACTCTGTAGCAAGAGAATTTTATAAAAAATACGTAGAAAAAGACTCATGGCAGAATATTGCTTCTACGAGATAATATGAGCGTACTCAAACATATATCTGCACTGTAAATAAGGAGATAGTTACATTATTTTAATTATTTAAGCTAAATTGCAAAATTAGCTCTGTAGATAGCTTCGTAATTGTAAAAGAAATTATTTTAACAAAGACGAAACATCGTTAGACATAAGACAAAATATAATTGAGTAGATACATATCTGCACTGTAAATAAGGAGTAGATAATCATTTTAGATCAAGTCAGAGTTAACCTGTCACTCCTGCCGACCCATAAAGTGGATCGAAATTAATCCGTTTACACTTAAGAAATATTATTTCATTCCGAAGTGAATCAGGATTGAACGACTGGGTATAAATTAAGTCAATGTTCATGATACTATAGATAATGTCTACGTGATTCTCATTCATGTTATGTCCACGATTAAAATAAATTTTTGAGAATATAAAAATAACAGCAAAATGCAGTTATTCTATAATGACTTGTTTTCAGCGTTTTATTTTAAATAATTTAATTTTCATGACATGAATTTCGAGAAATATAAAAATGTAAAAAAAACTGCAAAATTTTAAAAAATATTTAAACAGAAGGAAAAAATAAAATTATATTTTCATAGAAGTCTCTACTGTTTGCTATTTCACTTATTTTTGCATGTTATAATTATTACACAGATAGCGTCAATAAAAATATTAACATAAAAATGGATAATTATTTCATTACTTAAATGACTGTATAATATATAAATAGAATCGTATTCAAAAACGTAACATAAACAATTCTTGCCGCTGTTGCCTTTACTCGCCGAGGTCACGTGACGTCACGCGCCGGCGCGGCGGCGTATCGCGCTACCCTTGGTCTTCTCGTTGCGCCATACTTGTTCGCGCCGTGCGCCGGATAGGGCGCACCGTATTCCTCGCGTTTCCAAAATTCAAATTACACGCAAATAGAATATCTAGAATATTGAACATGGAAATGGGTAATTATTTTATTACGTAAATAATTGTGTAATATATAAATAGAATCACATTCATTCGTGAAATGCGACAATCGCGTACGTGTATCGTAACAGGATAAAATCTCACGCGCGTATTCTCGAACAGATTATATTGTTCGCGTAATAATAAAATAAAAATATCGAGACAAACGCGATTTAATGTCACACAATATTAATTTATACACATTAAATATAAAATTTTCAAATGGAAGCGAGTTATTTCATTTCTATTTGATATATTTATTAACGTAACACAAATAATTCTTGCCGCTGTTGCTTTTACTACGCCGAGGTCATATGACGTCACGCGCCGGCGCGGTGATGTATCGCGCTACCCTTGGTCTTCTCGTTGCGCCATATTTGTTCGCGCCGTGCGTCGGATAGGGCGCACCGTATTCCTCGTGTTTCCGAAATTCAAATTACACGCAAATAGGATATCTAGAATATTGAACATGGAAATGAGTAATTATTTTATTACGTAAATAACTTTGTAACATATAAATAGAATCTCATTCATTCGTGAAATGCGACAATCGCGTACTTGTATCGTAACAGAATAAAGTCTCGCGTGCGTATTCGTTCGAACAGATTATATTGCTCGCGTAATAATACAATGAAAATATCGAGACAAACGCGATTTAATGTCGCACAATATTAATTTATTCATATTAAATATGAAATTTTCAAATGGTAGCGAGTTATTTTATTTCTATTTGATATATTTATTAACGTAACATAAACAATTCTTGCCGCTGTTGCCTTTACTCGCCGAGGTCACGTGACGTCACGCGCCGGCGCGGTGGCGTATCGCGCTACCCTTGGTCTTCTCGTTGCGCCATAATTGTTCGCGCCGTGCGTCGGATAGGGCGCACCGTATTCTTCGCGTTTCCGAAATTCAAATTACACGCAAATAGGATATCTAGAATATTGAACATGGAAATGAGTAATTATTTTATTACGTAAATAACTTTGTAATATATAAATAGAATCTCATTCATTCGTGAAATGCGACAATCGCGTACTTGTATCGTAACAGAATAAAGTCTCGCGCGCGTATTCGTTCGAACAGATTATATTGATCGCGTAATAATACAATGAAAATATCGAGACAAACGCGATTTAATGTCGCACAATATTAATTTATTCATATTAAATATGAAATTTTCAAATGGAAGCGAGTTATTTTATTTCTATTTGATATATTTATTAACGTAACATAAACACTTCTTGCCGCTGTTACCTTTACTACGCCGATGTCACCTGAAACTATCGAGACAAACGCGACGTAAGTTTAATATTAATATGATCATATTAGGTATGAAATTTTCAAATCGAAATGAGATATTTCGTTTTAATTTAATATACATATTTACGCATGTGACCGTCATCATCAACATATCGCGCGGTCTTCTTGCTGCGTCATATTTGTTCGCGCGTGTTCCGAATCAAACGTTCCATGTTTCTTGCGTTCCATGTTTCTTGCGTTTCAAATTCAATTGCCCGCAGATATGATACCTAAAGTGCTAATGTGGACAGATTATTTTATTGCGTAAGTAATAGTGCAGTGAGTAAATATAATCCCATTGGTTTATAAATTGTTACTTTATACAATTTTCGTACCTGTTGCGTCGCGGCAAGTTGAAATTTCTCTCGTGACTCGCGTAAATGTCAAGAGTTACCGAATAAAGTGATCGTTGTTAATGTGTATGTGATTCGAGAAAGCTGTCAATAAAATTTTATTGGAAAGCAGAACTTGGTGAGTGCATTAATTACTATTTACTATATATTTCTCCGATCTAAATAAAATTACATTTTGTTAGGTTTGATATTTAAATAGTAAAAACATTATATTATTTAAATAATTATAATGATACTATATTATAATTGAACAAAATATTCGTATTAAATATTTTACTTCTTAACTTAATAATTTTTTGATACATTAAAATAAAAGATTAATTGAAGTAGCATGTAATTTTAACATAAAATTTAAAAAATATAATAAATTATTTTTATTAATCTTACATATTCTAAAATCAAAAAGTACTTGTTCAATAAATAATAATTGCATTTCCAAAAAAGAAAATTGCATTTCCAAAAAAGAAAATGGGTGCATAGGACAGGGTGAGTGAATTAATTGATATTTAAGTTAATAATTGTTATGTATTATTTGCATTAACGTATTGCGTCAGTTTTGTTACATTAACATAATCTGAGAAATATGTTGCTTAAAAAATCTTTAGTAATATATCTGAAATTTACTTCTTAAATGAGATATTCAAATTTTTAAGAATATATTTCGATTTCCATTTAATGTGCAAGATAATAATAGTAATATTTATATGGAAAATATAGTGAAAATTTATTATATAAAGATTTTTTCTCACTAACGTTCTTATTTTTTCTTTGAAAATTAAAAATTCAAAGTAATAAATTTTAACGCAACTTGCTATTTACATTACGTTGATTAATATGAAACTAAATATTGTGAATTTTTGTCCAGAGAATTTATTTGTTTATTGTTTGTTGTTTTGCAATTTGTACAGAAAAGAATGAGGAACACTGTTGTGAATGAAAGAGTCATGGACACGCACAAGTATAAATTTTTCAAAATTTTTTTTACTAAAGAAACATATTTGCCTGTAGTAGCATTTGCCTGTAGTAATGAATACGCACGACAAAGTGGAATTAAGTCATACAAGATTAGCTTGTCTCTCTCTCTCTC